GGGTGCCAGAGAGGCTGTACGCCATGGCTGTTGGGCAGCAGGTTGTTGACGTTGCTTGCAAGGTTATGATGATGGAGATGATGATGATGATGATGATGATGATGATGATGGAGATGATGATGGAGATGATGATGATGATGGAGATGATGATGATGGAGATGATGATGATGAAGGTAACTCCCCAGTAAAGGCGTGTGTAACTGTTCGACAGGTGGTGGTGTTGATTCTCCTACTCATGAGCACGGCTTCTCTCGCCGCTGTGTCCACTCTACATGGGATGAAGTACACAGTCGCTGAGACGGCTCAGCTGCACATGGAAGGAGGCATCACCGATCTGAAAGCGACCGACATGAAGATCTATTGGGGTTCTCTGGGAGCTTGGAGTGAAGGGAATGACATCCTGACATCCGACTCTGTCATCGAAGTCTACCTCCCGCGGTTTTCAGGTGGATCGAACCTGTTCGGTGCATACCGGTCTGGCGGTGCCGAAACGAATGTCCAGTGGATGAAGCAGAGTCAAGTCGTTACCATATCTGAAAGCCTATCCAAGACGTGGGCAACCGTTCCATCTCCTGTTTCCAACCAAGCCGCATCCGGAAACGGTCCTGGGGCCGGGGGATGCTTCGGAATAACACAAGACCTCTCGTCCAACGCGTTCGATCTCAAGCAGATACGTGCAGATTCCTTCTCCATGTGCCACTGGGACTCACAGAAAGAGACGCTCCGTCTGCTGGTGTCTTCGTCGCGTCGCATCACCGGTGTATACATCAGCAAGGTGTCGCTCTTTCAGAACTATGACGCTCATGGCAAGCAGAACGGTCTCGGTCCCTTGCCACCGATAGGAGGGATTGACGAGCAGTGGTATCAGTTGGCGCATGTTGCCATCTATCAAGCCTCTGGCTCTCTGAGAGGCTGCGCCGTCAGCTCTATCAGCGACTTCCCGTCGACGTCATGCGCGAGCGATCTCCTGGTGTATCAAGTTCCCTTCGATCAGTATCGATCTGTCAGGTTTGGGACGGACCTTCCTCCAATCCCCACACGAAAGGGAGCTGGAGGCGTCGGCACAGTAGCGCCTCCATCCTTCGTCTATGCCGCAGCGTCTGGAAACAACGATGGGCCGAATCAAGCCGTGTGTATCACCGTCACGTTAGTCAGCTCCTCCACCATCTACTCCGTCGCTGCCAACCCGACCATGATCTCCCTGACTGGCCTGACGGGAAGCTTGTCGCCAAGTCAGTACATTCCGCTTTTCCAGAGCAAGTGTCAGTGCGAGGGGTCGAGCACAGCACAGGAGCTCATGCCTCCGAGGTTTCGAACCTCCACAAGCACGCAGGCTGTTGGTCAGGCAGAGTTCCATGCCGAGGGGACCTTGACGCTGCAGCTTATTCCGGGTCAGTACATTCAAGCGGGAGAGGTCGTGACTTTCTCCTTCAGTTTGAATACTGGTGGGAACCCCCAGACCTCCCGGGACTTGAGAGTTTCATTGTCGGGTCAAAGCTGTTCGACGAACGACTTCTGCACGTCATCCAGCTCTGTATCGGTTACGATCCCTCCTAGGAAGTTTGACTCCTCTTCCAAGATCTTGGAGGTAGTTGGCAACAAGTTGAGAGTGTCCATGTTTCAGAGCTCCAGCGATCCTGGCTCTATGACCAATGTCTTTGTAACCTTGCAACCCAACTTCAACGTTGAGGTTGGGTCGGTGATAAGCTTTCAAGGAGTCTGCGGCACACAAACGAACACTGCTTACGTAGCTCTGATGAGCAACAGGCTAAATGGTGGAACCCCGTTGACTGACAAGTGCACTGGAAACCCCAAGGAAGTCGACCTGGCAGACTACTGGCCCAGTACAAGGCTAGATTGGAGCATAGGAGGGCCTCTAAAATTGACTCTAGAGCACAGCCTCGGCCTCAATGCTCGAGGGACCTATGCCCTGTCCTGGTCATGGCAAAATGTCAACACGGCAAATTCGGCCTGCTCCCTAACGGTGACTGTGCACAAGGGAGGAAACGTCGTGAACGCTGAAGTAGTGGAGAACATCGGGAGTACGGTTGGCAACGTGGCTCCTCCTGGCTTCATCAAGTACAAGATAGGACAGACTACCACTCGCCCGGATACGACCAACTATATCTGTGTCACGCTCAGAAGCAACTTTCGAATCTCAACGCAGCCCATCTCACAAGGTCAGAACACTCTGGCTCAGATTACAATGTCAGGTCTGCATGGCTCCCAGACAGGCAAATCGCCAATCATCAGCGCATGTCCGACCTTCGACTGGAACTTGTTCCAGCTGCGTCCTGTGGCTGATCCTCCAACTGCGCATTTCGTGGACAAGGTCGTAGGAGGGACGCTGCATCGGACCACAAGCTGGGCTTCGGGATCAGCTGTGTTGACTGTCAATCAGGATGATAAGGCTGGCAATGCTTACTTCTCCATCCCCCAGCAGCAGGATGTTGTGTTTGCGCTAGTCCTGAAGAACCCAAAGGGTCCCAACCCCTGCCAGTCAGTGTCCCTGAGCCTCTCAGCTCATGGACCAGGAAACACTCCGGTTACGCAGACCGTTACAATGGTTCAAAACCCTCTTGATAGAGCCTTGGAGGATGGAGAGGTCGATGGGGATGTCTGTGTTCTCAAGACTTACGACTACAACTTCCCGACGAGAGTCATCGCGCAGTCGTCGCCTGTCGTACAGGAGAGCAACGTCATCACCATCACTCTGCGGTCTAACATGAACATGTTGAGTAGCTTCTACGGCTCTCAGATCACCATCTCTGGTCTGCAGGGTACAGACACTACGGGCACAAGCTTGTTGGCGACTGCGGTTTCAGACCAATACTTCCCGAACATTCAGAAGACAAGTTGGGATGCCAGTCAAGGCAAGCTAGTAGTCTATCTCGCCCAAGGGACCTGTCAGCTACCTGTCAAAGGCCAGCCCTCTTACTGTATCTATGCGGGCTGGACCTATGTATGGCGTTACACCTTCAAGAATGGAGCCGCAGAGCAAGCAAGCCCGGCTGTGTCCATCTCATCTCAGTTTGCTCAAGGGAGGATTACCAACCCACAAGTCATGACTTCGCCGATGAGCTCCGACTTTCATGTCCTCTACATGACCAGAAACCTTCTCAACAAGTACAACATCGGACAGTTGAATCCTGCTCCTGGAGCTGTCAATCCTGTTTGCATCACCTTGAGAGCAAGCAAGACGATCACTGCCCCTACCACCTTCACCCTCACAGGGTTAAACATGTTCTCCTCCAGCACCAACGTTGCCTTGTACGACGAGTACGCGACTGCCCCGCTTGCCGGGGGGTTGTTCCAGACGGTCGGAGCAAACCCGCAGAGCAACTACGCGACGTACGATCAATCAACGATCCGGTTCCAGCTGGGTCCATCGCAGTCTCTTCAAGAGAGTGTAAAGTACAAGTTTTGCTTCAGGCTCACTAACGCCGTCACGGGTCATGCCACCTGTCCTCAGGTCTCGTTGATCGTCGATTCGCATTCTGCACCAGCGGCGTTCAAGGGGTCGCAGGCGTATCTGTGCAACAACGAGGCGAGCAGGAGGGTCACAGGCTACCCCTCCGAGCCCTCAGGGTGCGCTGGTTACGTCTCAGATCGCAAGTTCGTATCGTCAACCCTCCGGTCAGGGTCAAACGTGACTGCAAGTACTGCGTGGCTGACGATGGAGCTACAGCCCAACTATCCTCTCACCCCTGGCCACACAATCACCGTTGGCTCGTTCCTGAGCATGAAGAACGCGGGGTCGTCGGACGTGCCATGTACGATAGTTCGCAATGGCCAGGTGGTCAACTCTGTCACCAATCAGCACAGTAACAAGGGAATCTTTGCTGCTGCTACGTTCGAGAGTGTTTGCAAGTTCATCGACAACCAGATCAAGATTTCTTACACGGGGGGCCAAGGCTCGTCCTCCAGTCTGGTCTACGACCCATATTACGACGTGACTGCTCGCCGATCGAGGGGTCTGTACAAGGTGGAGGTGATGGCCGGGGGCTCTCAGTATGGAGCTGCCAGCGTCATCATCTGTGACATCACGCCTGGCGAAGAGTTCTGGACCAAGACGACCTGCACAGATGCTGGAGTAGTGTTTGCTGCTGGCAGCTCAGCCAGGGCACAAGCGACCGTCTTGTCTGGCACTGTTGTCTCCATCAATCTCACGGCGTCGGGATCAGGCTACGCTGTCGCTCCCCGCGTGTTCATAGTCGACCCTACAGGGTCAGGCAGGGGTGCTCTAGCAAGAGCCTTTGTATACGACTTGTCCATCTACACGGTGCAGCTTCAGCTTGTCAATCAGAACACTCCTGCCCCTGCTGGAAGCTTCACGGTCTCGTCTCAGTCGTTTGTACCTGCCGCTTTAGACAGCGGGGATGGAGCTCTATCCAAGTCAAGCTTGAAGCTTCATGATCACAATAGCTCTCAGGTTGTCTTCACTGTCACTCCCCAACACAACCTCTACGAGGGTGACATGCTCCTCGTCAACCTGCCGGCATATGACGTCATCACTGGGCCGATCTTTGGAGTTACCTCCTCCCCCAACCCAGCCTTTACGACCTTCTCGACCCAGCTGGAGTGGGAGCTGAACTACCACGAGAAAGATCGGGCTCGAGCTTACGTCAGCAACGGCTGGGTAGCGGATGGCAACAGGCATCGCTCGGGAGACGGAGACGTTGACGGCTTGTTCGTGCTGTCGCCAGAGGATGATGGCTACAACAAGAACAAGGACCTGTGCTGGAGCCGAGTCTCCTGCCCTTGGGGCTTCCCGGACAGCGACATCACCTTCTCGAACCCATCCAGCACTTTGTCACTAGTCAAGGTACAGAGTACTTCTTCGTTTCTGGGCCACTCGCACGACATCTGTTACAAGAACAGCAGCTTCAACCTGCCCCATCCGTCAGACTACGTCGGTATGCAGCTCAAGTGCCGCAACAACCAGCACCAGGCGACCGACGGAGGTCAAGTCACCAGCGTGCGAGTGCGACATGGCGGGCTGACGGCCGTCAGCGGGAGGTACACAGAGACTTCAAGCATCTCCGCTGCAGCACCGACGTTTGTGGCAGCAGCAGCTGGTGCAACCAGTCAAGCTACCGGGTCGCTGATGTACCAGGTGGTTGGAGTTCAGTACATGTCAGGCAGCTCCTTGACAGATGGTGACGTCATTGTGTTTGACTCGACCTACCAAGTGTCGCCTGCCGCTGCCTCTGTCTCGTCCCTCTACAGCACCAGCCCAGCTGTGCATGTCGCGTCTCCCGGCTTGTACTCAGGCTTCCCGTACGCGACAGTCACTGGCAAGGACACGCAACTTCAAGTGCTGCTGAGCGTATCGAGCGCCAGCCTGTCCTCTCAAGGCAGCGGATACACTTCCATCCCAACCGTTACAACCTCCCTCAAGCCAAGTGTTGCTCTGCCTTCCGAAGTCCAGCAGCTGGAGCTTCCCGTGTTTGACGTGACGGTGACAAATGCTACCGGCACTGTCATCACCCAGTCTATCCTCGACTACAACCCAGCTAGACAATGCTTCGTGGTGGCGGAAGAGTTTCCGACTTCCTTCTTGAGCGACTGTCAGGTCGTGCCCAAGGAGCAGGTCGGTCGGTACACCGGCATGACAGCGATGATCGGGTCCAACGAGTACGTCATCAAGCAGGGAGCAGGTGGCGTCTACTGGGTGGCAGACCTCAAGGGCAACAAGCCCCGGAGCGTCGACCTGGCCAACAAGCCCTACACCATCTACACGCAGCTGCAGCTGCAGGTGGCGAAGGGCAAGTGGATCCGACAGGGCGAGAGCGTCAGCATCAGCATCCCCGGCTACCGGTTCAAGTCGGTCCCTAGCAACCCCAACGCGTTCGTCACTCCCTCTACGGATGACGCCTCCAAGACCATCCGAGAGAGGACGAGGTTTCAGTTCGCGACGCCCATCAGCGTTGGCAACGTTGGTATGGCAGGAGCGACGACGGCAAGGATGCTGATGTTTGGTGGGGCCATCTCAAGCAGCGACACCTGTACCATCCCGGGGAGCGACATAGAGGCCCCTCAGACCTCCGACGGGCTGACCGTCAACCAGGCACAGACCATGACTAGTGTAGGAGCGAGCAAGCCAGTCTTCCTTCCTCCCTCGACGTGGGGCTCCGGATATCTCAAGCCCGCATGGTTCAAAGGTACCTGCGCCTCAAGCAGAGCCTTGCACGGTATCTTCATGCTTGATGGTCAAAGGACAGGCGTCGAATGGATCGAGGTGTTGTCCCCCTCCACTAGTTGCAGCTCCAACGTCAACGTTATCATCTCCAGCCCTTCCAAGGATGCAGTAACCGACGCCTTGACAAACGATCCTGTCTGTCCCGACGACTCCAGCCTGTGCACTCAGGCAACGGCTGTTGCGACGGTTAGCGGAGGCTCGATCACGGGCATTGCCCTGACAAACGGAGGGAGTGGATATTTCTTGGCGCCTACGGTGAGGCTGGTCAACTCAGACTCCAACACTCCTTGCGACGCCTTTGCGTCGCTCATCTGTCTCATAACTTTACAGCTCGACTGCAAGTGTCGCCGACTCAAACCTGATGATGTATCGGAGCGAAAGAGACCAGTACGACTCGCTCACTGGCTTGCACTCTGCTGTATTCTCCCCGGTATCTCTCCACAAGAAGCATGACGCAAGGAAGATAACCGCTGAGGTCGGCACAGGATACGTCGCTGCCATTGTCGTCACGTCGGTTCCCCCTGCCTCCTGTGCCGGCCCGATAGAAATCGAGGCTCCGCCTTCAGGCAGGACCGCAAGGGCTCAGGCAGCAGCAGCTGCAGGCTTGTCGTTCATTCAGGTGATCGATGGAGGCTACGGCTACGAGTATCCTCCCGCCGTCAGCTTTGCTTGCGGGCAAGGCGCTGCTCGCGCTATCCTAGGCTTCACTACCGCAGATGTTCACATGGCTGGAACCAGGGTCAACTCTTCTTACACGGGGCTACAACCTGCCCTGCTCTCAGCTGTCACGTCAGCACCAGCCTTTCAGACTACCGTGGACTCGCCGGTGGTGGTTGGCTTCAACAGCGTCTGCAGCAACGGGGCTACACTGACCTACTCCCGGGCCGGCAGCGGATGGAACAACTCGCGGGTGACTGGGATCAGCCTACCTGTCGGCATCAACCTCAACGGGTTTGCCTTCGGCTTCACGTCCGTTACCATCAGCCCTTCTCCTGTCAACGCCCACGGGCTGGTCGACCCTGCAGCAGACGCTCTCGCAGTTCCCACCTGGTCCTTTCCTGCCTCAGGATCAGTGCTTGTCAACGGAGTGGAGGGGGTGGTGCAGTCGCTGCCTGGCACCGGGTCAGGCAAGGGCGTGAATTCAATCATTCTGTACGATGGGCCGAGCTCCAAGGTTGAGCTGACAACCTGCGACAAGGCCGTTCTTGTCTTCAACCCTCCACAACGTCCAGGAGGGAAGACCTTGAAAGTTCAACTGCTTCAACCCGCTGGCTCCAGCCTTCCCATCTACGTGATCGTGCAGCAGGGGCAGGGGTACGCCAACATCCCGATAGTCGTTGACATTGACTTCGACGTCGGAGGCTCCGCCAAGAGCTACTCCAAGGACTTTGCTGACCTCTCAAGCAGCCAGCAGGCTACCTGCAGGCCCTCCTACTTTGCCTTCAACACAGCATACCAGGGCTACAACGTCTACTCGGCATTCGTCAGGTCCTCCAGCACTTCAGCACAGCCAACAGGCCTGACGCTAGATGGAGTGCTGATGACGCGGGAAGGGTACGGGTACGAGACTGCTCCTCCAGCCACCTTGAGCTGCAGCGGATGCTCCACCAGCCAGTGTGCTGATCAGTACGCGTCCTCCATCGCCAATGACGTCTGCACGGCCTCTGCTCTCACCGTTGACGCTACGGTGAGCGGGGGATGCACGGGAGGCTGTCAACGGCAGGTGAATGTCAACGCTTTCTTCTCACCCAACAACGGCAACGGAATGCAGATCTGCTCGCCTGCTGCTGGTGCCGGTGACTACCGTACACGCAAGACGCTCCAAATGCGCGTGTCCAACGGGCTATCTGCCTTCTCAACCAACAACGTGTACACTGTTAGACGCAGCCAGGGCTTCCAAGGCGCGAAGGGCTCACTGATCTTCAAGATCACCGGCAACGGCGCCTTCTCCCTCTCGTCTCTCTGCGAGGTGCCACGAGTCATCGTGGAGCCTCCACCTAGCGGGGGGGTGCAGGCTCAGGTCAACCTTGACTACCTCGACACCTCTTACGACCCTTACACCAACAGACCGTCCGCAAGCTTGACAGCAGCCAGCAAGGGGTTTGCAGCTGAGAATGCAACGTACAGGTACCTGCTCAAGGTCGTCAATGCAGGATCAGGGTACCTCAAACCTCCGAGCATCAGCATAGTCTCACCGTCGGGTCTGTTGCCTACCTGCCCTCCTCCCATAGTTGGCGCCTTCCCGAGGAACGGGCTGGTTGCGTCCAGGGTGGAGCTCATTCGAAACATTTCTCTCCCCGAAGCCAACCAGGGAAGTACTAAGGTCCAGCCGACGTGCAGCAGCGGATCGTTCGTCGTCAAGTCACTTTGCCCAGGCTCCAAGCAGTGTACGAGCTCTTACTCGCGAGCAGAGCTGAACCCGCTCCCTTCCTGCTCGACGTCATCGCAGTGCGCCGGTTGCAGTACCTTCCCTTGTTCGTCCCATGCATGCGGGCCTGACAATTGTCCTTCTTACCTCTCGACGGTACTCGACGCTTCTCTTTCTGACGTGGTGCCAGACGAAGCGCTCGCTGTGATCGGATGGGATGCTCGGGCCCAGCAGCCAGTCCTGCTCAACCAGGGCTTCGGGTTTTCTCCCAGCTCGCCTAACCCGCTCCGACTTGAGTTTCCCTCCGACTCAGGGCAGGCGTATCCCTGCGCGGAGATTCTTCTCTACCTCTCAGCTGGCTACAGCTCTGAGGCCCTTCAGCCAGGCCCTCTGCACTGGCCGGGCGACC